TCATGTTAAGTTGTTAAGTGCTGTTGCGTTGACCCTGACCCATAGCGACCCTGTATAGGGTTTCTGAGGAGTGGCTGGTGACCTTGAACCGCGAGCCTTGCAGTTCAAATGGCTTGGCAGTCTGGTGCATTAACCCACAGCGCCACACCAGGACTCCATCATAACTACATAATCAATTATAACTACTGATAATTATACTGGATGTGAATGGATTAAATATACCATTCAAGAGACATAAAAGCAGAATGGATAAGAAAACAGGGTCCTTCAATATGTTGTCCATCAAAAAGATGGAGCCATCCTAAATGCCCATCAGAAGAATAATAATTAAACAAACTTTGATACATACACACAATGGAAAACTACAAAACATTGAAGAATAGTGCTGAATCTGCAAAACACTGCCACCATAAGAGGTAGGGAGGCAGAGAGACTTGTCCATTGTCATATACTTGGGGGTTTCAAAAAGTTCATGGAAAAATGGAATTAAAAGATAATGGAATTTTCCCACAATTTAAAAAAATTCCTCTCAACATCTAGTAGATTCCTGGTGTGGCACTATAGAATCAGTACTGGACTGCAACCTGCAAGGCTGGTGGTCCAAACCCATCAGAAACCCTGTACAGGGTCACTATGAGTCAGAACCGACTCGACGACACTTAACAACAGCAACATACATCTAGTAAATGTCAGAGACAGGACTAGCTTCTGGACATCTATGTTGTTGTTGTTAAGTACCGAGTCGACTCTTACCCATAGCGACCCTGTATAGGGTTTCCAAGGATCAGCTGGTGAGTTTGAACCCCCGACCTTGCAGTTCAAATGACTTTTCAGTCTGGTGCATTAACCCACAGCACCACACCAGGACCGTGGAGTTGGTTCTGACTCATAAGCGACCCTGTATAGGGTTTCCAAGGCTGTAAATCTTTACGGGAGCAGAAAGCCTCATCTTTCTCCTGCAGAACAGCTGGTAGTTTTGAACTGGTGACTTTGCAGTTCGCAGCCCAATTCATAACCACTACACTACCAGAGCTCCTCGTAGTAAATACATACATATATATATATATAATTTAAATATTGTATGCTATAGTATTTATTGAGGAGGATAAGACATTAATTAGCTCCTGTGTAGATTTACTGTTCTGTTGTGTGTAGAGCTAGATTTTTTACTTCTGATTTGGTAACTTAGAATCTCATCCTTGAATTTTAGTGGGAAAGGAGATCAGATATCATAAGATGTGAGCATCTTATGGCCCTTAGCAAGTGAGTAGTGTGAGTGGACCATTATAAATAGCTTTTTAGGGGAAAGTGAGAAATTTAGGAGTGGAATAATAAAGAACCATTTATTCAGGTCAAAAGACTGGGGAATGGATCTACTTGGAAGTAACTATAGTCCCAAACTACTTTGTATGAAAATAGAGACCTTACATTAAAAGTACTGAAATTAGGAACCTGAGTTCTAGATCTGACTCTGCCTGACTGCTTTTCCAGAACTGTGATATTGGGCAAGTCTGGAGCAGTGTGGTATTGTAGATTATTTCTATTTGCTTTATGAAAGTTTATAATCTGATTTTTTTTTCAATGAGCAAGTATTTTTTAGTAAGAGTTCTTAAAAAGGTATTAATTTAATAAATGTGAATGCAAGTGACTATGGGTATCTATTTCCCTTTCCAGATACAGAGGCTTTTAAATAAATGTCACTCCTTGCATGAAGAAGACAAATAACTCACATGGCTTCTTAGGCAAATAATATGTCAGTGAGCATATTTTTTTTCTGACATTTTTTTGGTAAATTGAGTGATAGTTTACATGGGAGCACATTTGTTTTGCACTCATCATTTCATTGCAATGATTATAATCTCCTCTGTGCATCGTCATTCAACAGTGTTTTCTTCTATTCCCTCTATTTTTTTAGGATGTACACAGAAACACTTAGGAATAGATAATCATGTAAGCAACCCAAGGAAACACTCTGCAAGCCTGCCTCTTGGCCGCCAGCACATAGCCTTTCTCTTTCCATGCATCTAGAGTCCTCAGCCGCTCTATCTCTCCAAGTCTTCATCTCTGGTGTTGCTGCTTCTTTGGATAGGGTCCCACATTTCCTTCATGCTCTTCTCTGTTGATGGTCTTAGGGTCCTCTGTTCATGCAATGTTAGATTAACTACTCCCCCTTTTTGTTATAAAACTTCTACCTTTACAGTTGTGACAGTTGCAATTTGTCATTGATAATAATTATTCACTATTGAATCTTAAGATTCTTATCCCCATCTCCTTTCACCAGACCTGTCTAGACAAGATGAAAACTATTCAGTAGGGATTCTATCTTCCCCCACACACTCTGAAACTAAACTCCCTTTAGTTGAAAACTTGTAAGCCAGTTATTTCATGCCTTTATAGCTCCCCATTCCCCCATTTTAGGTAGGCAATGTCTAAGTTGTCCATCCCTATTAACCCTGTATACAGAGGGGATAGGATTGATACTTGATGTGAAGACCCCTTCCCTCTCAGTTTGTTTCCTTTATAAATTTTTTTTTTCATCTTCTTCTAGTCAAGTTCTGGACTTCTGGTGTGGCGCTGTGGATCAGCACTGACTACAAACCACAAGGTCCTCAGTTCACACCCACCAGCTGTTCCTCAGAAACCCTATACAGAATCTGTATGAGTTGGAATCGACTTGACAGCACTTAACAACAGTTGAGTTCTGATCATAAAGCCATCGAAGCTAGGTTGAATGGGTACTATCTACAAGTTAGGACGTTCTTGTGTATCTCCACTCACTTTATATCAGCTGGCTGCTTCATTCTCAGCTCTAGCCCTCTGTGGCTATATACTTGTCAATGGGCTCAGGAGTCCCCAGGTCTTATCATACTTCGCACCAACCAGCCCTTCCTCTTCTATCTCTCATGTCTAGGTCGACGGGAGTCTATGGAACATGGTTGAATTTAGCCCATATCTTCATTGCTTCCTTTCCCCCTCTTCCACTCACTAGTAGACCAACATGGTTGCCATCAAGCTTATATGCCTGCTCATTTGTTCCCTTTGAGTTCAGTCTTGGAGAGGGGTTTGAACATGACTTTTTAGGCTGCCATTTTTCAGTTGACTTCCAGCTATTTTATTAACCACACAGGATTGGAGTAGAACTGACTTGTAAATATAAACAGGTTTCTGTAGGACAGGGAGCAAAACTTTGTACAAAGGAGTAGGGATGAGCCCATAGCTTTGATTTGTTCCTTGTATTGTTCTGCATATTATGTCTTTTATGTGCATTTCAAAGTAATTAAGAATGGTGCTTTTATTAATATAGAAAGAGAATCTACTTGCCAAAAATGTAGAACTCCTGTAGGTATCCAGAACTAAGTAGACCCATTTTATGTTCAAGGACTTTAATGTCTATTGGAGAGATACAGTTGACTTTAGAACAACACAATTTGAACTCTGTGGGTCTACTTATAAGCAGATTTTCTTATTAAATGCTGTGTGGCACTAATCATCTCTATGAAAAGTCCATTTCTCCAGTAAATTGCATACTGCAATTAGAAGTGTTCTTGTGTGATTTTTACATATTTTTTTTATCGTGTTTAGTGCAATATTATAAACCTTGAATAAAACCATGGGATGTATACAGAGTGCCACTTAGTGATGCTGTAAAAATGCTCACAAGAAGCAGAGGAAAGAAAGTCATGACATTACAGGAAAATGCTGGATTTACGAGAAAATAGCATAGATTGAGGTCTGTGACTGCAGTTACCTACCATTTCACAATAAATTAATCCGGCATAAGATCATTATTTGAAAAAAAAAAAAATTCATGAAGCTACTGCTATAAACAAAAACCTGGTGCTTTTTGTGAAATAATTTTTTTATCGAAAATATAGCTTTTGTGTGGTTGAAGTATATAATATATGTAACATACAAAATAAGTACTAATCGACAGTTAAGTTTTTGGGGAGTCAAAAATGATATGAAAAATTTTGGCTGCAGAGGCATTGCTGCCCCCCCCCCCATTGTTCAAGGGTTTACTGTATTTGCATCATAAACGTGTGACATTGCATGACAAGTGTTACAGTGGAGGCAGAAACAAAGCATTGACTTTGGAGAGTCAACAATTACACCTGATAGGTGAAAAGTGGGAAAAGGTTTGGTGGTGTGGTATGGAGTTGGTTCCAACTCATAGTGACCCTGTGCAGGATTTCTGAGGCTGTAAATCTTTACAGGAGTAGAAAGCCTCATCTTTCTCGTATGGAACAATGGTGCTGACCATTGAGGTTAGCAGCCCAATTTGTAACCACTATGCTACCAGAACTCCCTGGGAAAAGGTTTATAGAGATTTTTTAACTTGGGTTTTGAATGGTTAATAAGATTTTGGCTGATAGGTATGAAAGTTAATGGTGTGTTTCAGAAATCAGATATTCAAGGCAAAGAAAGTTTTAATTGGGTAGGAGAGAAGTTAGGAATAAAGAAACAGTGTTGTTGTTTTCAATACTGTGGAGTCAGTTCGGACTCATAGTGACCCTGTATAGGGTTTCCGAGGAGCAGCTGGTGGGTTTGCAAACTCCTACCTTGTGGTTTGCAGTCCAGGGCTTATCCTACAGTGGCTACATCAGGAGTCCATGGAAACTGTAGATTGGGAAAAATAATAAAATAATGAATGTAAATTATCTAAGCATAGTCCATGGTATATTATAAGTCTTATACTTTGCTTCTAATTCCTAATATATGATCTTTATTAATTTCAAGAAATGTCTTTAATCCCTCTTCCCCTCAAAAATTAATTTTTAGTTTTATTTGACAAAATGAGGCATATGTTGTAGCTGGATTTCAAACTGCAAATGTCATCGTAAAACAAAACAAAGCAGAACAGAACAGTAATTGCTAAGGAATCTACCTTAGATTAATATGTAACCAAGTTTCTGAACCATTTCTTTCCCCAGAAGGTGACCTGTTGAGGAAAGTATACAAATACTGAGAAAAACCTGCTTGTCTGCACCAGTCAGGGGGCAATGTCACAAGTCACAACCACTTACTCCTTTGATGCCCCCACGGACTACATCAATTTCACATCTTTGAATGATGAAGAAGATAGCCAAAACATAGATTCCTGGTTTGGTAAGTATCTACTTTCTTTGACCAGTGTAAGGGTTACTGGCTTACTTTGTACTGAAGACACTTAAACATAAAAATGTCTTCAAGAAAAATAACTAAAATAGAAACTTATGAATCGGGCTGCGAACCTTAAGGTCAGCAGTTCAAAACTACCAGCTGTTCCATGGGAGAAAGATGAGGATTTCTGCTCCCGTAAAGATTTATAGCCTCAGAAACCCTGTACAGGGTCGCTGACTCCACGGCACCTAACAACAACAAACTCCCTTCTGGATCAAGATGTTTTTTCATCCATGATATGTTAGAAATAATTGAAATGTGTAGTATTTGGAGAATGGACTTGTTTTAGAAAATTTTATTGTAGTTTGAGTGAAAATTTACAGAGTTATTTTTCCATTCAATAATTAATACACATTTTGTTTTGTGACATTGGTTACATACGATCTCCTTCCTCAGTGTAACAACATTCTTCCCACTTCCTCCCTGGGTTCCTGATTTCCATTTATCCATCTTGCTTGCCCTTTTCTGCCTTCTGAACTTTGTTTTTGTGAAAATGCTGCCCTTTTGGTCTCATGGTTGATTGTTTTGAGGAGCATGTTCCTCTAAGTCAATGGTTTTTTTTTTTTTTTTCAATTAAGAATGACATATATTTAGGCTTTAGGGACATAAGGGAAAATCCAGATGAATGTATGTTGAATGAAGCTCAGCACTCATATATGTCATCTGTAATGATGGCAGGCACATTGAAACTTGCTCTATAATCATTCAGCCTAGAGTATAATATTATAACCAAGATATTGACAGTGATATAATCCACAGATCTTACTCAGATTTCACACTTTGACTCATGTTTGCTTTTGTATTAAGTTCTGTACAGCTTTATCATCTGTGTTGTTCTTGAGTGCCGTCAAGTTGCTTCTGACTCATAGGAACCTGCATAGGGTTTCCAAGGAGTGACTGGTGGGTTTGAACCACCGACCTTACAGTTAGCAGTACAGTGCTTATCCTACAGTGCCACACAGGACTCCTATCACCTGTATAGGTTTGTGCTATCCACCACCACACTCAACATACTGAAAATTTCTAATATCACAAGGGTCCTTCATGCTGCCCTTTTGTAGCCACACTTATCGCCATCCTTTTCCCTTATTCATTTTATTTTTTTTTTTTCCTTTTTGAACATTTCATTGTGGTTTGAGTAAAAGTTTATAGAGCAAATTAATTTCCCATTCAATAATTTATACACACTTTATTTACTGACATTAGTTACACTCCCTCAATGTAAAAAGCACTCTTTCCACTTCCTCCTTTAGTTTTCCATGTTTCCATTGGCCCATCTTTCTTGCCTTTTCCTGCCTTTTGAACTTTGTTCTTAGGCAGTTTCTGCCTTTTTGGTCTCACATGGTTGATTATTCTGAGGAGTATGATCCTCATGGATGTTATTCACTTTATAGGCTTGTCTGTTGTCTGACTGAAAGGTGATCTCCAGGAGTGGGTTTAGTTCTAGGTTTGAGGGGTTTCTAAGGGCCATTCATTTAAAAATGGAGGCACTGTGCTACTTAGAACCCAAATCTCCAAAGAGATGGGAATGCCTGGTGTTAGGTCAATGAGATGGTATAAACCCTGAAACCAGGTCAACAAATAAACATGTGGTGTTAGGTTTCACTTCTCTTTGGAATTATATGTGAGGCCAGTGATAATGTCCTCACATACAGTTGCTAGAGTCTTTTCATTTTATTCTTTCTTATGTTCCCCCTCCCCAATATGTGGTGGAGACAGAATGAGAACATCGCAACCCTGCTTGTTGCTTACAATGCAATCTTCAAATGTGATGGCACGTTTCTCTTGGAAATGGATTTTAAGGGGGGATCCTGGGAAGGAGGGGTGTATTGGAAGTAGTGGGAATGGTTGAGTTGTCTGAGGACCCTTAATTTTTTCCTTAAAACGAAAGATAGGAATATTAGTATAACAATACTATTAAATACAGTTTAGAAGAAAAGAAAGCCGTATATTTTTCCCAAATATGTAACATAACCTTAGTATATATTGCCATGGCTTTCTAAGAAACCCTGATGGTATAGTAGTTAAGTCTTGGTTGCAAGCCAGAAGGTTGGTGTTTTCTATCCACCAGCGGTTCCACTGGAGAAAGAAAGACCAGTCTGCTTCTGTAAAGATTTACAGCTATGGAAACCCTGTGGGGCAGTTCTACTCTGTTGTATAGAGTTGCTACCAGTCAGAATTGACTGGGAGCAACAGATTACTTGGCATGTCTTCCATAATCACATCTTTTTACATTGTTGCAATTACAGTGCACAGAGCAGTTATTCCTGGACCTTCCTACAGTCCTGAAGCTCTGTTTATTGGCAGGCTGTTGGTAGAGCAGGTCTCTCACTGGTTTGTTCTGACTGGGATACCGAATCTACCTACCTAAGATAGATTTC